CCCCGCGCTGGGTCTCCCTCTGGAAGAGGCAGCTCTGAGGGCCGGAGACGCGACACCACACGCTCGCTTCCCTCCTCCCGGCCGGTGCTGCCATGTGGCTTGCTCTCCTCCTCCATTCACACTCCAGTCCGTGGAAGGGTCTCAGCGGCGACTTCAGCCTCCTCTCGCGTCTGCCAGGGTTTCTAAATGAGCTCGCTGGACCGCGGGTGTGGGAAGGACCTCCAGATCCGGGCAAGGCTGCTGTGGGCCAGGACACAGGCACCCGAAAGGGAACGTGGGCTGCGGCCAGCTCCGTAGGACCGTGAGCGCAGACCCAAAGGCTCCCCAAGGCAGAGGCCGCGCCTCAGGGCAAGGCTTCTCCTGGTGTTTTAAGAGAACACAGGTGACCGGATAAGGAAGAAGGTAGCCAAGAATCCTTAGCTTCTGTCACTGTGATCTACTGAGACTAGTTGTAACCCAGCACAACACTGTAACACTGACCAACCCAACATTTCAAAACGCAGGGAGACGAACCAAGGCAGGCTCTCCTGGAGGACAGGTGGTCCAGTCTGGAAGCTGCTACACAGGGATGGGCGAAGACAAACCCTCCCTGGCTGAGCTCTGGTAGCTTTTTCCTTGGCCGCCTTGCCCTTCCATTATTCATGCACAATGCTTCAGAGGGAAACTGCCCTACAGGATAAAAGTTTGCCTCTGCTGAGTGCCCCTGACAATTCCAGAAGAGTCTAAGATGCGAGCGTTTACTGCTCCATTGTAGCTAGAAGTCTGCTTGTGCTGGTGCCGGCCGTGGTTGGGGGCTGCAAGGGGAGGAGGGGCCGGGCCTCCTGCCTGCAGGCCGTGCGCGGGACTCAGACTCCGGAGCGCAGTGGGCTTGCAGCCATCCACTCACCACCAGTGGGCCCCGCACCTCGTCCCACGCCTGCCCGGAAGCACGCCGGGGCGGCTCGCGGTGGTGCCTGAGTTTACAGAACGGCCGGTGAGCAGCGTGTCACGAACCTCACTACACGGTGGATCTGGCCACGCCGTGCTCCTGAGACTAGCCCCACATGCAACCAGCCTCCAGGCCTCTATCTCCCCCGTCCCACTAGCCAGGTCAGGTGACATTTAGAAAATAAACATGGCAGACATGGGGCGCAGTGGTCCACCAGGGCCACTGAAGTTAAAGAAGCTGCTTTTATTATTATTTTCTCTTATTGTTGTGTGTTGGTCTAGTATTCTCACATCCAACAACTAAACAGAGTTGAGTCTACTCTTAAAACTTTAATAGTTGCTACTGATGATTCCACACTAGGTGAATTTGTGCATAGTCTGCGTGCCTTGTATACACTGTATGTCCCTGCCCTAAATCTCTGTACCATTCCTGTCATCCAACTATAAAACACAGGATGGATTTGTTTAAACACATTCATGAATTGTGAGGGCAAGCGAGAGGAAAAGAAAGGGAGAGAGCACTGTAAATATAAAATCTCACCAGGGAAGAAATACGATATTCAGAACGCGCCAGCCTTGAATTCCTCTGTTGTTTCCGTTCTGCCGCAAGTATGCGATTCTGTTGAAGTCTGATGGCTGCAGCGGGCAGCATCTCTCAGGCCTGGTCCCACAGTCTGGCATGTAAGTGGGACCTGGCTCAAGTGAAGAGAATGTCCTCAAAATTAACCTCTCTGGAATAACCAGCAGCACAAATACCCTAAAAGCACAGCAGTAGCCACAGAGGCCAAACATCTGCTTTTTTTTTTTTAAACAAAACTGTGCCTATTTTAAGACTAGCACAAGCTGTCATTCAACAATTATTGAAAACGCCCTATCTGTTACTTATTTTACTGGAGTCACCAATCATGTTACTATATATATAATATATTTCATTATTAAAGTAGAATATGTTATGGCAAGACACTTGTGATCTTGAGCTGATCTATTAAACTAGTGCCACACATTAAAAGAGGGGAAAAATATGTTGAAAATCTGTAAGTTGTTTTTGTTGCTTTAGTTCTTCAAAGTTAAAATTTATTAGTGAAAAATCTGGAGGAAAGGATAATTTCCACTGTGTGGAATGTAAGCAAAGAGTTATGGTTATTTAATGTAAGTGTCACTTCAAGTCCTGTGGTCCCTGTGACTTCAAGCGTTCTTCTTCTATGACCTCCTTGGAGTTGGGCAGTGAAGGGGCTGGTGCATTGTGTGTTGCTGCTGGCTGGAGGGAAATGTAACACATCGGCAGGTGTCTGAGCTTTTGTCCGTTTAATCTGAATGTTGCTTCAAGGTCACCATTTCTGTAGCAATATTAAAACAGATTTGAATGTTATTTTGAGGGACATGTTATATGTATACAAGCAGATAATGATGGATGGTTTACAGTGGGATTTTGTAAGGAAGAATGAAAAGTGTATGGAAAGAACGGTTCTAAGTGACCAGTTGATGCCAAAGCGTGAAAGAAGTTGTATTGATTAGTCATTCTTCAAGATATTTAATATCATATACATAATGTATTGTGACTTCTTTAATCATTTTTAAACAACAAAAGGTTCTATAGACTGTGACTGAAGTCCCTTGCTGAGTGAGAAGGTATCACTGAAGTCTCATAAAAGCTAATCTGGCTTCGGGTTTTATCAATCTGTAACTAGAATCTTATTTTTACCCCCATAATGTTCTGTAGAGCCTTTGCCAAATAGCAACCAATAAATTAAACCTCTCCTTTTTGTGTGTATTTGTGTGGGGCAGGGAAGGGAGGATGGGGTGAGACACTGCTGTCTCCTGGACTCTCATACCAAGAGTCTGCAGGCCCTGTGTGAGGTGGTTGCAGACCAGGCAGAGTTGGCTGCCACCGAGAACGCCAGCCTCCTCCCACAGCACCACACCGGGAAGAGCCGGAGCTCTGTGATGGCGCCTACAGACGGCAGAGGGGCAGAAGAGACGTAGCTCTCTGTCAGGGTGTAAGAACACAAAGAGAGACTTTGGGTTCAGTAGAAGAAAGTGCTCTGTAATGCTGAGAGCGGTTCAGTTGTCTATGAGTTCATAAATCCTTCTCCTAGAAGTACTTACAAAGGTTCTAGGTATCACCGGGATGCAGGTCAAAGGAATGGCTTGCCTGGTGTTAGCCAGTGAGTCTTTAAGGTCCTTTCCCACTGGGACATACAAAAGGACGTGGAATCCAAAGGCCAGCAACTGTGCATGAGGTGTCAGCGTCGCCCGCTGCACTGCGGCCGGGTGTGAACTGCTTCCCCTGGGCTCTGAGGACTGGCTCCACCAGGCGGCACCACGGTCATCTCTGCTAGGAAGCAGACTGAGCTGGTGCTCTGACAGCACCTGAGGCCTTGAACACGGTAGAGCTGTGAGATTTCCAACTTTGCCTGGCTTATTCTTTTAAGGAAACAAACAGGGCCTGTGCTTCTAGCAAGTGCTCTACCACTTGAGTCATGCCCCCCACCCTGACAGAAAACAGAAGTCTAGAAGCATCCTCAACTATTCAGTATTTGCACCAATGAGTAGATTCCTCCTGAGATGGTCCCTGGTACAGACGGGAGCCAACTTTGCCACCGCTCTTTTTTTGTTATTGAACTAGAAGAGGGATGTAGGAGCAAGTACAAGGGTACCGTGCACAGCCACACCCAAGAGGGATGTAGAAGCAAGTACCAAGGGTACCGTGCACAGCCACACCCAAGAGGGAGCATCTAAGGCTGACAAGATGAGAACATGACACAGAGGACATTAGGGTTAGAAACTAAAAACTGACCAATCAGAACCAGAGGTGTGGTAGAACAAAACTGACCAATCAGAGCCAGAGGCGTGGTAGAACAAAACTGACCAATCAGACCCAGAGGTGTGGTAGAACAAAACTGACCAATCAGAGCCAGAGGCGTGGCAGAGCAAAACTGACCAATCGGTAGAGCAAAACTGACCAATCAGACCCAGAGGCGTGGTGGCGCACCAGCTGTAAGTTCAATGCGTGAGTGAGAGGCCTGAGGGCCAGAGCTCAGGCCGTGTCAGCCCCATACACACTCACAAGCCCGCCCTTCACACGCACACTGAAGCACTTGGATAGCACGTGAAAGCTGGCCAGCGAGATGCAGAATGAGGATCATTGCAAAGTAACAAAAGTGAGGGAAACCAAACGAACAGTAACCAATGTGCAGCCCACTGTGTGGGGAGTGTTCTTTAACAGTAAAGGAGGGGGGCCGGCGCCGGGGCTCAGGCCTGCCATCCTGAGATGCGAGGATCGCAGTTCAAAGCCAGCCTGGGCGAAGTCCATGAGACTTTAATCTCCAATTTACACCCTAAAAAACAAAGTGGCGCTGTGGCTCAAGTGGTAGAGCACTAGCCTTGAGCTAAAGAGCTGAGGGACAGCACCCAGGCCCAGAGTTCAGGCCCCACGACTGGACCCTCCCCCCTCCCCCCAAAAAAAAGATACCTCATGCAAATCATGACCAAAAAGGGCAGGGCTGCAACTACTTATATAAGACAAAGTAGATTTTAAATAAAAAACTGTCATGAGAGACATATATACATACATACATACACACACACACACACACACACACACACACACACACATAATGATAAATGATCAACCCATGAGGGAAATATAATAATTATAAATACATATGCATTCAATCCAATAACACCCAAATGTACTAAGCAAACATTTACAAGATTGAA